GTGTACTCAGACCAGTAATATTTGGGGTCACAAGTTTTTGCCAWGGGTATTTTTTGGGTCATAAGATAAAAAGTTTGGGAACCACTGATCTATAGTATCTATCTACAATATCTATCATCTATCATCTATCTATCTATCATCTATCTATCGAGAGAGATAGGTATAGATATATAGATATATATGAGTGTTCATTGAAATGGTTGTTACCATCTTGTAGCCATGATTCTGACATTTCTGTAGATACCACACTGTGTCTAGCTAAAATAACTTATAGTAATTAAAGTAGAAAACCTGGATTTGGGTTTAGGAGATGAATGAACCAGTTGGCGGGCCACCAGTTGAATAGTCCTGTCCTAATGAGTAGATGTAACTGAATAAATGCTCTACTTTGTGACTAAAAAGCATCACCATCTCAACATTTATATTGACAGAAATACAAAAACAAAGGTCAGATTTGTTTTTTTTTTTTGTGCAACCCAGCACCAGAACGGTTCTACATCCAGGCTTTTGTTTACAGACGTGCTAAAGTTTCAGAGTTTTCTTTGGGGTTGAAAAGAACTGAAACACACCTTCATAACAAGGACCAGTTTGAAACACAGCCTGTTCTCTAGCTGTACTTTTCCAGTAAAAAAATAAAAAAACAGGTGGATCATTGGACAGAAACTCCACCAGCCATTGTGAGGTGAAKTCTACCGAGAAGCTGATCTTTGTGGGGAAATCGAACCAGGAAAAGCTCGGATGTTGGGTTACAGTAACGATGACAATAGAATAAGGTCAAATATAGAGCCAGTTAGATAGAACTCATTAAAAACTCTTTTTCATAATAAGTGGCTGAAGGATAAGCCTAAAGCACTTCATTGATACAAATCTTGCTTTGARCAGAGGCAGAGATCAGAGTTCTGTTCTATGATTTTTTTTTAAACAAATCCTGTCATCAGTTCTTCAGCAGCGTGAACAGTGTTCTTTCTTCAGGAAAAGGAAAGCTCTCGTGTTTCTCGCATCTTATTTTTGGAAACATTGCCTCTGAAAGCCTTGTTTTCCCCTGTCAGCGTCATGGTGATGAGTCACGGYCAACACTGCTCCAGGTGTAAATAGAAAACAGCAGCATGGGTTGAAAGGTGATACAATTATTTAGGCTCTTTCTGGAGGTTCTGTGGCTTCTAGTTTGGAAATAATGCGGCCAGATGGGATTTGACTGTCACTCATGGCAGAAGAGATCAACGTCAAAATGAGTTTGTCACTTCTTATCCCTAATTTACACTAGATGCGGCTCCGGTCCGTCCTCCGCAGCAAATAAACCCCTATTCTAATCAATGAGGGTGTTTACACTGGCTGCGGACGGCAGCCCGGCAAAATTTGAATCAATCCTGTTTTTGCCGGATGCCAGAGCTGCTCCAGAGTAAATCTACAAAGATCACGTCGCACCAACAGGAAAAGAAACAAGCACAACATCCATATTTTCAAAATAAGACACAAGGCGGACTGATTTTGTCAAAATCCCATGAATCAAAATATGGATATATTTCTACACAAATGCTGTCAGAATGTATCGTTCTGTTTGGGAAGCAGATGGAAACATGTAGCATGAAGTATGTGTGTACACACACGATACACGTGGATTTTATTTTGAAATCATACGTTTCAAAAAGACGACAGCGATACAGTTTCACCCGTAGATGTAAAAGCTTTTATATCTTTTTTCAGCTGTGTTTGGAGTTCGTCTTTCACAGAATTAATTATTTTTTGCTCTGACGTCTACATTTACTGTATCACTGGATTTATTGTGCGATGTCCTTCCTGCACACCTTCCCTCGTCTGTGTGTCGCACCGGAGCACAGCGGAGTCGTATCTAGTGTAAATCCAGGGTAAAAGACAGAAAAGTTTTTGATGATTTCAAATACACCAAAATCACTTTCTTTTTGGCACAATTCTAAAATTAAGAAATCAAACTTGAATGCTAAATGAGTTTAAATAAATGAGTTTCACTGTATGTTACAAACACTCGGTGATTCAACACCTGCAAAGAAAAAAGAAAGAATAAATGCAGGAGAACATGCTGATCCTATATGTGTGTCTTTGTTTTGTTTTTCTAAATTGCATTGCAGAAAAGATGCTGTGAAGTTGGAAGGATGATGCAATGTGACTTTATAAAGTATTTGTTTTTGTCCCCCACCCCCGTGCTTTTACAGATCTTATTGTCAAACTGGCAAAGGACAAGTTTGGAGCCATTCAGACAGAGTATCAAAAGGTAAGAACATGATTTTGTGGGGATGAAATAATTGTTTCCTGATCCTTTTTTATACATTTTTCTGCTTGTTTTTCTTATTACAGAAATATGCAGCAAAAAATGTCCATCTAAGCAAGTTTTAAAATCTTATATCCAACTAAAAAAAACTTTTCGATCTTGTTTTGAGACTGATTTACTAAACAAGAATAAAATGAGTAAGATTAATAATCTTGTTAGCAGATTGTGTAAGATTATTTATCTTGTTAGCCTGCAAATTTGACTTAAATTAAGTGAAAAATCTGCCAATGGAGTAAGACTATTGCACTTAGTAAGATTCTTGAAATCAGAGAAAAAACGAGTCATTTTGAAGGCCCTGCCACAATTTAATGTTTTAGACAACCTATGAAATGTTTGGAGACATCTACGTTGAAGATGGAACTAAAAAAATCAACTGGAAGCCTCTTTTAAGTGTATGTATACTGTAATGATAATAAATWGTTTGTCTAACYTTTATTAGTAATTTAGTGGAAAAAGGAATTCCATAAGTTGTCTAAAACATCATAGTGTGACAGGGTTGGTGAGGTTGTTTTTTTTTTCGCGATGGCTAAAACACAAGCAGAAGTAATATAAAAGGAAAGATTGATGAGCACTTAGAGGAATCAAGGAGAAGGACTAAAATTAGAGTGCTTGAGATTTAAGAAGCAGAGCATCCAAAGGCAAACAGTTTTTCATACCAGGAAGTTTTTTTTTTTGTTTGTTTGAGGGCAGAGATTTGAAGGACAGCTCGACAGTTAAAAAAAAACCAAACATGAAAGCCTCGCCTCACAACCTCTGCTCCTGATTAATGATGGTAATAAACCCTGTTTTGCCTTCTTTCATTGGTCAATGCCACAACTTCTGGCAAATCAAAGTAAATGATGTACTTCTTGCAAAATGTTTATGTTTAAAGAAAAAAAGTCTTTTTCTCTACAATCTTTTCAGATTGAGATTTAAATGAAGTGCAAATCATCGGTCTGTGCGTTGCTACAATACGCAACAGTGTGGATCTGCATGTCTGCTTTGAATTCTTTAAAGTGTTTTGTTTCTGTTTTATTCCATCTCGTTTATGTTCTGTGGCTTTGCTCTTTCTTTTTTTTGATGCTGCATTGCCTGTGTCTTCTGCATGCCTTCTTCATCTCGTCTGGCTTCCCTCAGCCAGAGAACATAGTGCTGACCCTACAGGTAAAGTCTGCGCGCTGGGCTTACAGTCCAACCCATCCCACTGTCTAACCACGTCCCTCTGCATCTGTCAGCTGGGGGTGGCACAGTTGCAACTAAAAGTCTTATTTGGCGATAAATCCAAAGTTGCATTACAGTCTTGTTAGAAGTTTGTCAAACTCTAATTTGGCGTAGAAACCGTGATTATTTGTGCCTCCCTTTGACTTTCATGCAGTCCTCCTGTAAACTTGGAATCCTCCCTTCACCTTGACCAACGCTCCCGCTCATTTGTCATTTAAAGTGAGATCAAAGAAAGAGAAACGCTTTTTAGTTTATAATGAGAACCACATTTTAAACTTTGAAACACTTTTCATCTTTATCTATGATTCTTATTAATCTAAAAGCCTAAACACGACTGCTCTGCGTACATAACATACACTGAGATTAAAAATCTATACACTGAGATTAAAAATCTCTTTTGCAAAGGAATCCCAGCCAAGACTGGCAGTGATACACGGAGGCTACAGAACATTCACAGCAAAAAGAGAAAAAGTTAGCACTGTCATGGATTCATTAAAAGATTCCTCAGTTAAAACATTTACAAACAGATAATCCCTTCACTAAATCAGTAAGAACATCCTTAAAAACATTTAATGRCACCTTTAGGTTCGTGTATCTCTGCAACTGGTTCCAAGAAGATGGAGCAGAAAACTGAAAAGATTTCTTTCCAAGTTCAGTTCAGACTTAAGGCACCGAAAGTAAAAATAAGTTCTCACAATGAAGAGAACATCCTCCGGTGGACTTTTATTTATATAGGCCAACAAATATGATGGAAGAAGTCCTAGTACAGCCTTATAAATAAAAATATGCCCGTGACGGAGTCTACAAGAGGCCAAGGCCGTCCATCCAACCCCGTTGTATAAATGTGCAACGATAAAACCTTTTAGACCTGTTATAAATCTTAGAGCTCCATGATAAATCGTATCCAGCACATAGACATAAGAGTGCTTGTATAAAATGTCATCATAGTCCAGTACAGACATAAGCATTCATCGCTTTCTTGCCTCAAAAGATTGACGGGATCTAATCCTGAAATAAAATCCCAATTTTAACCTTAGCTTCTTTAGCGGTTGAATATGGGCAGAAAAGGACAAAGAATCATCAATTAAAAGTCTTAAATATTTATACTGTTGTTTATTATCCACAACATCAAATAATAATAACCATTTTATTATTTTTGTTTCAATTCAAACTTGACCCCCACCAATAAATGATAAAGACACCATGTGTCAGCATGCCTTGTGGCCGCTGCTGCCATTAAATCTGATCACAGTTACAGCACTGCCCATCTTCATCTCTGAGACATGCTGCCACCACCTCATTCAGTTTGTTCTAATTGGAAGGGCACCTTTTTCTTTTGGGCACTTGGCAAGACAAAACTATAGTCCAAAAATAGTCCAAGCTGCAGGCACTTCAAAAGATTGGGTGGGAAGGGAAAAAAATCATTGTTGACCTTTTATTCTAAAGATTCACTCAGTAAAAACGATGCCCAGAAGCATAATGACAATGTCCTCAACAGCAGGCCGACATTGGTGATTTTTAAGGGACTTGCGTAGATTTGAACTTGTCTTTTTCATTCATTTCTGCTTCTCGGCATCTGGATTCTCTGAGTCAGTTTTACGATTTAGCTTTCAGTGACTTTTTACCCATCTACATCGTGTAGCTTGACATTTTAAGGGAATTTTGTAAAATGCAGCAATGCATACAGCGGGTAAAATAAGCATTGAACACGTCAACATTTTTCTCAGTCAATATATTACTAGAGGTGCTAATGACATGAAATGTTCACCAGATGTTGGTAACAACCCAAGTGATCCATACATACAAAGAACTCAAACCATAAATGTCCAGAAATGAAGTTATTTGTAATAATGTGGAATGGCACAGGGAAAAAGTATTGAACACACTTTTTCCCTGTACAACAGGTAAATGGTCGGATATACCTGAGTCACAAATCTCTCTGACTTCTCCATGTAGCCCATAAGTTAAAACCAAGTCCAATG